ATGAAGGAGCTTGAAGCAGCTTACCAGAGTTTGGGTCAAATCATGAACAAGTGAAGAGCCTCACAAGCTTTCAGTGTCCTTAATCTGCGATAAAGACTTGGTTTGCATTCGGTTCTTGGAGGTGGCTTGTCGGGGAATGTTTGCCTTTTGCTACCTACCTTTCAGTTTCCCCCAAAAAAGACCAGACACCTAATACATTCTACTACTATTTGCCGAAGAACCCCCCAAAAAAATTGAAAGAATAATCCCTATCTTACCCTTAGAAGGAAGAATCTTTTAAACATTTTTTGGGGGTTCTTAAGTCTTCAGCAAATGGTATTCTAAGGCCATCCTGTGCTCTAACCCTTGGATTTGCTCCTCAGCAGAAGGACCTATGTCCCCAGAGACTTCGGGAGTCGGAGACAATCCTGAAACACAGCCTTCCGTTTTCGCTGGGGCTAGCCGGCTCATGGCACAAGTCGGCTTCTCAGAGTAATTGGATAGAGTGTAGAGCCGAAACAAACTGGATTGGTTTCGCCATCTTGCTTTACATTGGGCTTGCTCCCTCCCCCTCCTCTACGCTCGGCTTTCTGCTGGCCCTCCCCAACAGACCACGATGCCAAGGTCTCCTTCGGACATCGCATGGCTCCGGCATTTCCGTGGTAATGCATTTCTCAAGCAAAAAGACCCAGCAGCTCTCCGAGAGGACTCGTCTAGGTCGGGAGGGGATCATATTTGGCAGGTTGATTTTGTGCAACAATTCTTGATGTGGTTATCGTGCTGATCGCCGAAGAAGCCCACAAACGGAAAACGGTGCCTGCGTGAAACACGAGCTCCGACTGGCAGAAGCGCGCCTCCTGCCGGCCTCCTGGCTGCCTGTCCATTTCACTTTTCTTTTTTGCCAGGCTCTATTGGATTCTACGTGTGTTCTGCAGTTCTGTACGCTTAAAGTTACGGCTGCACAACGGATCATGAGCTCTCTGAGTATGTGGCTCACGTAAGTCAACCATGTCTTCGAAAGGGTTCGCTGTCCCTCTGCGGATCCTTGTTAGAAGACACGAGCCAGGGAGGCTGCCAGACATCTCTGGATGTGTGTCGCGATGCCATTCGCATGTCTGAATTTCCATGTGCTTGTTGCAACGCTTGAGCTTGGGCATCTTGCCTTCCATGCAGAACATTGCCACTGGATGGCCGCAAGACCGTAGCAACCCGGAATTAAGTCCCCAAAAAGGTGAAGATTGTGAGCTTGACATCGTGCACGACGTGGCATATTGCAGATTTGAGGCCCTGGCGCTGTGCAAACTTACGACCCGTGACAATCGCACCCGCAAATCCCAAAGTCATACATCTTAAGCAGCCCCAAGTGTGATTGCACGAGGTGTCAACACAACGGTCTACAACTTTTCCATGTACTTTCTCTGTGCAGTGCAAGGTGTATCACTCCAGTGCTTCACATGCTCCTCACTTTGTGGCCATCCTTGTAGAAGGTGCATTCGCCCGCTGGGCATGGGTCAGTAGAATCGAACATCGTGGGCTCACCAATCAAGGCCCTCATCAAGTCTAGGGGCAATATTTTTAGGGTTTAGGGCTTAGGGGTTTACGGGTTCACGGGTGTAGATGGGTTTAGCTGGGTTTAGGGTTTATAGGGGGACCATGGGGGACCTTGATTTTGATAGATGCCAGACTCGATACGTTCCGGACAGTTGCTTTGCAACCAGTGCCGGGAATGCCCTCGTTCTGTGAACACAGAAAACTTTGGGTCAGAGGGCAATAGTAATGAGAGTGCGGTGGTTGTCGCCGGAACTGCGAATTATGAAAATTCTCCGCATCTGAGCCTCGTTTTGAGGTTGGCTGACGCAGGAGCGGGATGCCCACTGAGGACGTCGGGGTGGAACGCTGCTTGGGTCTAGAGTGCTTGCCGCCAGTTTGGGGCTTTCGGCTTCGGATGTTTGCAGTCGCCTGCGTCCTGCAGGCTTCACTGGTGGAAGCTGTGGTGTCTCGCTTTCTACACCTCTTGAAAATTTCCAAGGCCAGCAGCGCAGCATGCAAACACGAAGGAGCTAATAACTACTAAGCATGGACTAAACATTTGTACTCAACAGGTGATCTATGGCCCGATGCTAGTGATCTGAGTTGGCACAGGCTTGCGCTACCGAAAGCGCTGCCCTGATGTTGCTACTGCCATGCACCAACATGCCCCTGTCTCTTAAAGATCCCAGGTCGGCATCTTCGGAAAAGATGAAAACAAATTTGCAGAGAACCAAGCTATGTGCCGAAGCCACTCCCTACACATCCCTACACAGGGTTCAGGGTTGAGGATCTCGGCTCAGACACTCGCACAAGGCAGGCAAGGATAGCAGTTGGTTCCAGGACCCGGCCCCCCCTGCACTTAGCTACTATTTGCTTATAAGAACCCCATTTAAAAAACCCTGTATTGCCCTTATAAGGAAGAATATTTTGTAGCTTTCTTGGGGTTCTTAAGCAAAGACTTGTAGTAGTATAGGCAGGCCCCACATCGAAAGCGCAGTCACTTTATCTTAGGCGGAATCCCTGGCTTACGCAGGAGGCCGCTGTTTGCACACCTCGAGCTATCCCCCCTCCGCCCTCCGGGTTTCGTTCATGTTGAGAATTTGTGATCTCGAAGTCATTGCACCACGGCTTTGATTGCACCCTGGTTCGGCTTCCTGACACCCTCCTGAGCCCGCAGACCCACACGAGCCCCTTTCCTCCCTCATTCACGGCCTGAAAGGGTGCTGGAACGAGGCATCATGTCCTTTTGCAACAGGCTTGCAGAGGTCCTGGCCTGGAAGCATCTTGCCTGAAGCCCCTTGAATCGGGTTTTGTAGACTTCCCCGGGCCGAGGCGTCGGCGTGCAGTAACTGGAGCCATGATGACTACATGTAATAACCTACAGCAGTGCTAAAACGCAAGCTGTTGAGTGCACCTAAACTGCACCTGTGTGTGCAAGGAGTGGCCTCAGTCTGAGCCGCTGTAGGAGGAAGCCTGAAAGGAAGAGGAACCTGCAACACTCGAACTGGCTCCCTTCTGGCCAGAACCTCAGCTCTGGGCTTTTGGGTTGGGATTCATCTTTTTCAGGTAGAGGCTACTTCAAGGTTCTAAGTTCTAAATGTTCTAAGTCTAAGCGTCTCTTGCTTTTTTTTTGGCGACGTGCATTTCTTGCTTACTAGTGCGTTCAGGGTGCTGCTTTCCAAACACCTCGAACGTCAGTAAATCCGAAACCCTCAACCCTATTCTTTCGCCAGCGCAGGGTTGACAGTGCCAGCCAAGGCACTGGTGAGCTTTTTCGTCGCACGCACGACGAGCTTCTCTAAATGAATCAGCCTGCCCAAGAATGCCCACGCATCAAGAATGTGTGTGCTTCTGGGACTAGAAGCAACACAACTGCAGCACCTGCGGCCTCAGGAATCCATGGATTGTGTGGTGTACCAGTGTCTACATGCCTCGACTTGTAAAGGCTACAGAGCAATCTGGGAGTTCCTGCAGGTGAATGGGCCAAGGATGGGCTGCGTGATTGAATTCGGGCTTGGAAGTCTTGTCGGGCGCAAGTGGCCCCAAGACCGTAATTAGCGCCCAAAGGCTTCGATTGTTCTCTGGACTCTTCTAAGCCCAGGTCCCCGGAAGCAACTCGCCCCCCCCAGGAACAGTGCAAGAACTCCCGGTCTGAAGAGTCTTGACCCCACATGCCCGCACCACCGACAACAGAAACCGGATGTGGCTGCTCAAGTCTCTGCAGGTTGACACAGCCAAAGCATGATTCAGCAACGGCCTGGCGTCTATATTGCCCTTCTCATGCGTCTCCTTGCCAGCAGTCACAGGAGGATAAAGAACCACTCGAGGGGGAATTCTTGTTTACTTGCCTGTTCAAGGGTCCACTACGCATGATCGGCTTTCGACAACTAGACTGCGCTTCTACCACAAATGCCTCTCCAGCTCCAGCTCAATGTCGCCACACACTTGCAAAACGAGCAGCCTCCGTACGCTGATAGGCACGTGCATTTTGTATATCAGAAGTGCGAAGCGCAGTGCCCTGTACCGCGTTGAACACAGATTGTCCCCTTCTTGGGATCTTGACAGAGTGGCGAGGTGCCCTCTGTTGGGGGGTCTGTGCCAAGCACTTTGAAAAGTAGATCCCAGCTCTCCTCGTCCGGCCATGGCATATCTGAGGCCGTTGAACCACCGTAGCGCAGGATGCGCCTCGTGCACCGTAAGCCAAGTTCGGTCTTCGTCTGCGCTGGCTTAAAAGGGCCCAGGGAAGTTTTCATGTGCCCCCTCTCCTTCCCCTCAAAAGGATCACGACTGCTCTGTTTTGTGGTTGGGGGTGCTGCCACACAGAGCACGTTGCAGCATTGCCAGGCGATTGATCGTTTCAGCAACTTCGGACCCCCAAACAAGCCCCCAAGAATGGGTCAACATGGACTTCGTAATCGACACTCGACTCCTTGAGGGAAGGCGTGGGTGGGCCTAATAGGACCTTTTGGGGTGAAAAGGGTGCTTATCTTCATGGCACGTAAAGGCGGGGGGGGGGGGGGGTGGCCCTTTGCTGTTGACATACTCATGCCTTCATGCTTCTTGAAGCAAACGCGTGCCTTAAACTCACTCTGGTCGGCTGGCAGGGTGTGAAAAAGGGCAGAGGAGTTGGGGCCGGTTGACAACAAGGAGCACAAACGAGGAGCAGAAAAGAAAACTCAAAATAATAGGAGCAAAATGGCAAAGAGCAAAGAGCCGAACCGAAAATAAGAACAGAAAAGAGGACAACCACACCCCCGCCCCCACCCCAGAATAAAGAGTCATGCATACACCCGTGTACTTAACTTCGGGCAGCACCAAGAGTCAGAATGACAGTGAGTGCCCCCCCCTCACCCCCCTCCGCCGCCCCACAGCGCGGTGGCATTTGAACAGCGTGCGACCGCCTCCCGATGATCTGATCCTGCTTGAGCTGATTCCGTACACTTGCACGCCCATGTACGAAGGCAGGCAGGACAAACTGCCGTCCAAGCAGCTCTTCGGTGGTTGGGTTCAGGGTAGCCAACTCCAGCACCTGTGCTCGTGAGATTTCACACGTGCTCAGGCTTCGGATTGTTCTTAAGAGTTCTTAAGAGCACAAGGCAAGGCTCGCTAAGGTTTGGTAGGGTCGGGTGTTGGACAATTTGTGATGCTGGTAGTTCCCCGAAGCTGAACCCGAACAGCTCTACATGTGAACAAGCTGCCGAAAACAGTTGAAGCGATGGAATTATAAATCCCGGTCGGAACAGTTTCACGCTTCTGGGCGCCAGGATTTGATGCAAGGGATGGCCCAGTCTCAACGAAATGCGCTTGATCAGCTTGGAACCCGACAACAATGATTGGAGCCATCGTGCGATGTCGAGACCCTTGAAATATTTCCTGCTGACTCCGCGGACCCCTCAATTGTTCATTGTGTCAAGTTCTTTGCGGGTGACCATCCAGCATGCCGTCTTTGTCGCCATCCCGCTGTAGAATGCTATCTCTTTTCGGAGTCAGGGCTCTAGTCTGAGCAACTACCTAAACCCTGAAATCTAGCCACCGAAACCACTGAGCCTCTGCGCTGATCAGCGTTTCATTTTTAGGGCAAATCCGGAGATCAACATCGGCGTTCTACTGTGCAGGCCTGAATTCCACCGGCGATGCCGACATCACCCTCGTTGAACTCGATCCTCTCCTCCATGCTCGTTCTGACTTTGTTGATGTCTCTAAAGGGTTTGCACTTCTTCTCACATTGGACGCTCACATTACAACATGCGCGCACACGCACACACACACACACACACACACACACACCCACACACACACACACCCACACCCACACCCACACCCACACACCCACACACCCACACACCCACACACACACACACACACACACACACACACACACACACACACACACACACACACAAACACACACACACACACACACACACACACAGACACACACACACGCGCCCACACGCCCACACGCATACACACCCGCACACGAATGATTCATGGAATCCTAACTTGCCCAGAAGGTCCATGGTCCACACGCAGGGCCTGGAAGCGCAGGCTCTTGAGAAAGGCTGTCCATCGTTTCGGTCGAATCGCCCGCACTGTGGACACCGTGATTCCTCAGGTCTCTGTTTGAGGTCAAGGGGGTTTCGAGTGGTGGAAGGGCCCAAGTAGAGGTCTAATGAGTCGCCAGGGAATAACTTTTGGCTTAGGCTGCATTGCGTGGGTGAACTGCGCTCGCAAATTCGCAGGCGATGTTGACGCCTGCAAGCCCTAGCTCGGCGGGGGACCCAACAAGTGCAGACCCTGCGCGGGGAGGGAGCTTTGGCACTTAAGGAAATACCTCAGAGCCAGCACGGCAGAAATGGACTCGTACCGTAGGCCTCTGGCTCCTAGCCACTTACTAGAATCGGCAACTGTAGGTGACCCATGAACTTTCTAGTGGGGCTTTCGGGCAAGGCACCGCTTCTGAATAACCGCGCAAAGCCCATCATGTCGCCGTAGACATTTCGGTAGGCACCTGATGTGCTGTCCCTTACCTCCCTATGCCCGGCAGCACAGACGAAACTGGGATTTTGGGAAACCGCCCCTGCTACACGATCCAAGTGAATTCAAGATAATTGCTCACACTGACGTCGCTGGATTGCCATGGACAGAAAAACAAGTTAGCATTGTGCTGACATCGCTTTTCCGACAGAGGGGGCGAATAGGTACCTGGGAATACTGATGCCCCAGCCCTGAAATTCCACGGGCGTGGCGCCGGGAATCACCCTGTAAACCCTTTGAAAGAGGCTTCAAGACGCCGCCCTGAAGGCTCCCCCTGCTGGAACAGGTTCGCAGTGGAGAACAAAGATCGAGAGCAACTGTAATTACTCGAGACAACCCTAACTAAACTCTTGAAAAACGACAGTTGAGGCAATCCATCGTTAAGCATTCGCGAGGCTCGGAATGAGGGGACGGCTAGCGGCTGGCCAGGTGCCACCCCTGATGCACGACGTCACAGGTATTATGTCACAGTCCCTAGCCGTGACCTGCTGAACCACACACCCAGCAACCTTGAAGCAAACCTAAACCTCCTGGTCAGGTACCCGCAAGCTGCGCGATGAGTAGGTTCAAGAGGAAGATCACGACGATGACGATAAACCTCGGAGTTGTCCAGATTAAGGTGGGCCGCAGTGGTCATGTTCAAGCTCACAAAGTAGAACTACTTGCACGATTTGCGCTGCGCACAGCGGGGAGAAACTAAAACCAACTACGGCTGATGCAAAATGAACATGCAGCCCGACTTTGCTGGAAACCAAATGCCCGTCTCTGCTCTTGTCTTCAAAGCCCTCAGCCGCAAGATTGCAGAGTTTAGGGTTGAGGGTCACTCCGAAGAACCTGTGGGCAAGCCCAAACCAGATCCCGTTCCATCAATGCCTTTCTAGGCATACAAATTATTTTGGATGTTTAGTATTCTTAGTACAAGATAATAATATATTGGTACTGCACGTAGCAACCCAGTTTCTTGAGCTGAGGTGCACAATCAGCAGCCCCAAGAGACGTGGAGAGTTGTGCAGCTCAATCTGAGTTGTGAGATTTCATGGGATGAGGCAGTTTCAGTTTCACGTTGGTTTGGGATGGTCTGGGCTTCAGCGGGTCAGAGCAACCCGAGGTAGTGGAAAGACGGGATAGCGTTCAACACTTTCAACGGCTCGCTATGGCGGCGTAAGCTGCATTACAGCATGTAAGCTTGCTCTGCGAAGAACGCTGAAACAAGGCACCAGAAACGGAGCACAGCGGAGAAGCCGAGTGCCAGGATCCCACGAGATGTTTTGTGCATCTCTTCTCTCGTGAGGAACCTCTCGGCCTCTCGACTTTACCCGTACTTGCGGTCGAGGATCGAACTTCTCGGAGGGGTACATGCCCAGCGTAATCTTCGTCAGTGTCCGAACTCCTAAAATTGAACACCACGATGCCCTCCCCCCCCCCCCCCCCCCCCCCCCCCCCCCCCCCCCCCCCCCCAAATGCAATACTAATGGCAAACCCTGTGTGCCCTTAAGCTGCCAGTTTCTGGGGTCCTGCTGGAATGCTTCTGAAGTCAGCCTTGAAGTTGTCCAGCGCTGTTATGGAGCAGGCGAACATGAGAACCAAGAACAGCAGAGCACCTTGGCACGATTTTTGTGTTGGCCTCTTTTTTCAGGTCCGTAGGAACTCCAAGCTTCTCAGATCCTCTTGCTCTGCTCATGAACATGCCCAAGCCCTTAAGATGTGCGTGTGGCTTGGTTGTTTTGATTGCAGGTCACCTGGGCCTGCGACCTATGCAGCTTCAAAAGACTGTGTGAGACTTGACTGCAAGTTGAGAACTTCCAGGGTAGGGCTGTACTCAGAGGGTCTAGGAGATGTGTTAAATCTGGCCCAACCTTCTAATGAGAGTCTACCTACAAAAAAACACTGGGCGAAGCAGTGTCGCTGCGCAAGGTCTGAAGCTTACATAGGACAGGTTGACATTCAGCCCGGTTCTGGGCAAGCACCCTGAGTGGTAAAAAGGCTCGGGCAGCTAGGGCACACAAGAAGTGCAAGAGTTCCACCAGTACGTAGAAGCACGTGAGGAAGTAGGAGCTCAGACGCAAAGAGAAAATGCAGCAGTCGACCAGAAGCAGCCAGTGAAGCCTTGGCAGGCAGGAAGCTTCAGGGCTGGTAGCGGTGAATTCTGCCCTGCTAGGAAATCGCTGGCTCATGGGGGCCCGGCCTAAGAAGGCCTAGAGCTTCGGGGGTCAGGGCTCAAGCCTGTCAAAATTGCAGGGCACCATGGGTGCTTAGGACTGCCGGGGGACATATTTACTTTACTCCTGAAAAGTTGTGGGGTCAATGAATCGAGGGCGCCTCGGCCTGTCAGCATCGCTTTCCTATTCAGCGCTGGCATTGTAGAACTTCCATATCATCGGCGAACAGGGCCGAAGCAAGCTGCGCTGGCGACTTCTTCGGATTTTGCTTTCGCACATCGACTTTGAGAACGTGAATTTTGCAGCGCGGTTGCGCAAAACCAACACACCAACACACCGACTGCCAGGCGGCTTCCGAGGTGTCATGCTGGGTAGGATAGGTATCGAGGACACATGGCAAGTGGTGCACCCTATTGCAATATGCCAAAGCCCCCTCAAAGTTGTCCGGTCTGAGCGGCAGAACGCCGAGCTGAGAGAAGACCGAGTAAACCTTGCTTGATGGGAGGAGTTGGGGTGCAGGGTGCCTAGATCTTCAAACCGTGGTGTCTGCAGCGTCTGCTGTTGGAACTGGATTCATCAAGGAAGAGTAAAGGCGGCTTTTCGAATACCTTGAGAGCAACGTGCTCAACCTGGACTGTCTTTCGGTTTGGGCGACGTTTAGGTTCGTGAAGATGTTCTTGGATGCGAGGCTCAGAATGGATTGTGCAGGTTGAGAACTTCGGTTTAACAGAGTTTACATACTCAACAGCAAGAGCTACGACATGTTCACGGACAATATGAACTGATCCGATCCCCACAGAAAGCCCAGCACCCGAGGCCATGTAGAAACAAGAGAAGCGACGAAGGGACTGTGCGAACAGCGCGAGGCTCAAACCTCTGCATTTAGAGCCCAGCTGCATTGATGTTCGTCTGCGCCTCGGGGCAGTGCGTCGAGAAAAGCCCGGCACCCTCATAGTTGCCATACCTCGGGGCGAGGCTTTGGCTCGAAGGTTCAGGCAAGTTCAGGCATGTTCAGGGTATGGCGCGGGTCGAGGCTCAGTCGCTTGAGGGCAAGTGGCTTTGGCGCAACTAGAGTGGAACTGGGACTGATACGACGGTGCGGTGGCGGTCGCCGTTGCTGCATACGCATGTAGAAAAGCAGTCAAAGTCCAGAGAAGTTCCAGCAAAAACTCCAACATCTCAAGAAACAGAGGACTGTGAGAGGGCCAAATGCATAATGATATAATTTTGCACCAGCAGGTCACCTTTCGCTTCTTGTGCCAATAGCATGCAATGTGCGCAAATAACCTCCAGCGGCCTGCTCGCCTAGTGTCTGAAGGCAGAGGCGAGATACATGTTGCCCAGGCAGTGGAAGATAGGCTCCTGCGTGCACATGAACCTCAGCTGCATTTTCCAAGTTGAGGCTCTTACAAGCTAGCAATTGTAAAGTTTTGGGGTGGCCCTCTAAATGTTGGCGCGAATCAGCTCGCTTCCCAAGGGACTGCCAGAAGGTGTCACTATCTCCGATGGCCGGAACTTACAAATCAGTAAACGCCGGAACTGTGGCAAAACAGGTCGTGGGACACGAAAGACTTGGAAGATTGTTCTATGGGGGCTTATACGGCTGTTGTTGGCCTGTGCAGGAACTTCGGGGTTGACGTGGTGCTCAGTTTACTGCAACATGTAACCCGCTAAGTGTACCAACAACCCTTCAACCCAGTGTGAACGACTTATCTGAGCTTGACGACACTGCTCTCCCCTGGTACCACGTCGGGCAGTCCGAGGGGTCTGAACTTTCATCCTGGAAACACCAGATTGATGCCCATGGCCAGCTGCGCTGCACTTGCCAGATTCTTCAGGTAGGCCGGACAAGGAAGGCCGAGCAGATGGGTCAAAGAACCCTCCCGGATGTCAGCCACGATGTACTTGATGTGTGCACAAAGAAGAACGAACATGTCGAAGAAGTAGATCACGCACCGGCCTTCGGTGCAATCAAGCTTGCGAGTGGGGCATGGTTACGACAAAACTCGGAGGTTGATTTTGGAGCCTCCTCTACAAACATGCCATATGGGGACGTTTATTCTAAGGGCTCTCAAAATCCTGGACCCCACGCGTATCAGCTCCGGCCCGACGGCAACTCACAGCCGAGTCCCCGGCAAGAGAAAAGCAGAATGCGCAGAGATTCTGTCTCCCTCTTCGGCTGCAGGCGTGGCAGGATGCTCTGGGCGCAGACGAAGATGACAACTTGCACCATGAAGAGGACCCTCCACAGCCAGACTAATGTTGGGGCCGAGTTCTAAGATGGGTGAGCAGGCAAGTGGAAGACTGGAGTATCCCTGCCCTGCCGCAAGAACGGTATTTCCCTGCATTCCCTTCCTGTAGTGGGCTGTGTAGGTGCTCCATCTTGTTCGAAAGGCAAAGTGACTAACACATTTTGTAGGAGAGGAGCGAGAAAGCGGCCTCAAAGTCGATGACAGCTGATACGCAAAACCCATTTTTGCAGTAGGACTCCGCAGGAACCATTTATGAACACTAAATCAGCTTAGCAGCTAAACCCTCAGCCTAGCCCTGATTCGGCCTGCTTTGCAGGAACTCGTAGCTAGCCAGGCGTGACCAAAGCATGTTGAACACGAAACTGACGACGGGATGCCGCATCAGCTTGGGGTCCTTAGGTGGGGGATTTGATGCTCGGAGAACCTTCGGGCGCGCGTGATTTTATGGAAGTGGGAGGCTCGTATTCGGGAGTGCCGAGGTAATAGGCAGCACTGACCTGAATCCGTATGGAAGCCTTCTTGTATAGATTCGCTGGACTCTAAACATTGTCAAGAGCGGCGTATAGAGGTCGTTCTACTGGCAGGGTGCCTATAAAGGAAACATCTCCTGCTGGTGCCAAAAGAAATGCAGTTGGGAGCATGGGGAACTCTTGACAGAAGAGCGGGAGAATGCGAAACTCTGAACAGAAGAGCGACTAAGACGCGAGAGCATCATATAGAAATGGCCGACGCGCTTCGTTCTGCTAAAGTCTACTCTTTCCATCAAGCCGCCCCGGACTTGATGATCACGGAGATCTGCTTTGCATTGAACAGTCCCTCCGCATCTTGGATCAAGTGCTTCACAAAGTAGTTCACACGTCTCCTCGCGGTCAGCGGCATCGGCAAACTTCAGGGCTCTAAACTTTCTGAAGCATCGAGACACGATCCTTCTTTCCCTGGGCCACCACCCGCCCACCCCCCCCCCCCCTCCCACCCCAACCAAAACCCAACCACGCTCTTGCAATTTGCGTGGCACCTATGGCCTTGCTCTCCAAAAGCCGGTCAGAGTTTAGAGTTTGAAGGATGTGTTAGGAATTGAATCCTCCCTGGATCGAATGCTGTATCCGCTGCTGCCGAGGCTCAGCTTGTTCTGGGTGTGCTTCGATCGCCAAAGCATGCCTCAGGTGTGGGATCGATGCCCGATCGAAACAGCTTGGGTACGGAGACAACGATCTCAGAGACCAGGCCTAGGCTAAACTCGGCTAACCTTCAGAATGCTCCACTCTGGCAAGCCAGTTGCCGTGAACCCTCAACTAACCTTATTCCCTATGAATGATTCTGCCGAAGCTACTGCTTACTGCATATGGCCAAGTTGCCATCCAGCAAGGCGGGGAGAAGGCCCTGGCCTCGTGTAGCACCTGGGGCCGTAGTCTAGTGTTTTGCCGTCCGCCCAGCAGACCAGCCACGCTGCAGGGCAACGCTTCAGGAGGGCAGAAGAATTTTCCAAGCTACTGCTTTCTTAAAAGACACAAGCCTCAAGGCATGGGACCGGAAACTACCCCCAAACCCTCGGTAGAATCACTCCCAAAAACCATGTAGCACGCCCAGGATGCGTCCACAGGTCTTTCAGAAACTAGGTTTGAGGTTCTTGGGCCCAGCAACTCCTTTTAGGACAGGTTTTCTTCGTCTCGAATATTGGATCACAAGTACGTAGGATTGGTGTTCCGGACAAGAGATGATCGAGCTTGCTTCATCGTGGCTTTGTGAGCGAAAGCCTGCACTTTACATGTTGTCTAGGACCTGGATGCCTCCCAGAACCGCCACAACAGATCTCACCTTGGGTGTTGTGGATAGACCCGCAGAAGCACTGTGCGAAACTCGCCCAATAACTTCAGTCTGAAAGACGCTGTTCGACCCTGCTGAGTACAAACGGAAACGACTCCGTCTCCGAAAGCCGTACTATCACCTTGCCCTGGTTACGGTACAAGAAGGCATGTGCGCAACACAGACCCGGGCCCCCCAAGCCCCTAGGCGCGCCCTAGCCACTAGCCTCACGCACCTTGTCTAAACCCATGCTCAGGCTTGCGCTGAGGATGTTCAAGATGTCAGGATGCCGCTCGAAGAGGGCATCGCAGCCTTGAGCTCCAGCATCTTAAGAGAACCCTTTGAGTGGCAGTCCCCGGGATCGATATTAAACGATCGAAGTAGCCGGATCTTTAAGCATGGAGGTGCTACTAGGTTGGCATACCAGTAGGCCTTGGTACCAAGAACCCAGTCCTTGCAGCCCAAGCCAAGAGCGCCCAAACCCAAGAGAAAGACTCTAAACTTGGTTCCGACAGGTCCTCGAGAAGGCTGCGTTGCCATCTAAAGCGCCCGCACTCAAAACGACACATGTCTTGAGTCATCTAACGTCGGAGCATGACAGTCTGCTCAGTCTGCGATGGATCTGACCGATTGCTCCCGAGGGTCCATAATAGTAGTTGTCCCGATCGCCACCTTGGGACGAGGATCTGGCGAGATTTGCTAACATGGCGCATATGCACTTCCCTTAAACCATCTTAACCCCCAAAGCCTGAGACTTTTTGGTCTTGGAGTGAACGGAGTTCAGGCTGCTCGGAACGCAGGGGAAGAGCTTCCCTGTCAAGACGGTATAACGTCGAAGGTATAACGTCGAAAATACCGACTAAGCTGTGGTGTGGTAGGTTCAAGGAGCCATTGCGCAAGCTTCCAGAACCCTCCCCTTTACTTGGCTCGTCCGTGTTCAAAGGTTCCTATGGTTCTTCCAGCTCTTCTCATTCTGCGGAGGAAACCTCCAGCAAGAGTCACTGTCGCAATCCGTGTGCAAGAACGATCGTGTGTCCAAGGGCTTTCGGAAGGGCTGAAAAGAAATGTCCTGGTGGCTGGCACCCTTCCTGAACAAGCGGCTCACGTGACTGTCGTTTGCAAGCCGACGCTCCCACGATCCCTTGCTTGGGAAGTGTTGGGTTTTCGGACAGTGCAGAGTCCGGTCGTTGGAACCGTGCTGGCCATGCTGTTCCTGCAAAAGCGCGGCACGATTTCAATAAGATCTGTCTCTTCGTGTTTCTCCTCGACATTGATTTCTGGCAAAAAAGTCTTGAGTCTTGAGTCGAACCCCGTGACGGCACTGGAACGTGGAGCGCCGCCCTTTATGAACCCTAAACCTCCTAAACATACATCCGCATTTAGGCATCCAAGCCTCACAGACATGCTCAGATTGTCTGGGCTAGGGGCGGATGGTGAGAAGGTCGTCGATCATCGCTCTGGCAACTTGGAAACTGCCACTCCTTGCCAGCATGAGTTTGGGGTTGACGACTGTGGGCCCGAAGCTGCAGGGTTTAAGGCGAAATGGGTGTGATCACAGGCGGTTTGTGAAGGCAAAGGGGAACCTGCGAACCCTCCGCGCCCTTCTGCAAACGTTCTCCGATTGTGTTTCTGCTGAGCCCCCAAAGTACTGGCCACATCCGTTTCTGCCCTGATTTCCGTAAGGCAAACATGCCTTTGGCGCACGTGCCCCAAGTCTACAGTGCTACCACAGCAGTGCCACTCGGCTCCAGACTGCCTGACAAAAGCAGCACGTAGGCTCTAAATGCAAAAATCCTGCCCAGTACTTTAACACCAAGGATCTTGATCGCCCAGTCCAAAGGTGAGATGGACTGGGTGCCGACCTTGGTTGCAACAATCACTGGGGCGGAAACATACGGAACATGTGCACACTGTGTTGGGTGCATGACTGTGTGACTGTGTGACTGAGTGACTGTGTGACTGAGTGACTGTGTGACTGTGTGTGTGTGTGTCTCTGTGTGTGTGTGTGTGTGTCTCTGTGTCTGTGTGTCTGTGTGTCTGTGTGTCTGTGTGTCTGTGTGTCTCTGTGTCTGTGTGTCTCTGTGTCTGTGTGTCTCTGTGTCTGTGTGTCTCTGTGTCTGTGTGTCTCTGTGTCTGTGTGTCTCTGTGTCTGTGTGTCTCTGTGTCTGTGTGTCTCTGTGTCTGGTGTCTCTGTGTCTGTGTGTCTCTGTGTCTGTGTGTGTCTGTGTGTCTCTGGTCTGTGTGTCTCTGTGTTCTGTGTGTCTCTGTGTTGTGTGTCTCTGTGTCTGTGTGTCTCTGTGTCTGTGTGTCTGTGTCTGTGTGTCTCTGTGTCTTGTGTGTCTCTGTGTGTCTCGGTGTCTGTGTGTCTATGTGTCTGTGTGGTCTCTGTGTCTGTGTGTCTCTGTGTCTCTCTGTGTCTGTGTGTCTCTGTGTGTGTGTCTATGTGTGTGTCTCTGTGTCTGTGTCTCTCTGTGTCTTCTGTGTCTCTGTGTCTCTCTGTGTGTGTGTGTGTGTGGTGGCGTGTGTGGGTGTGTGTGGTGTGTGGTGTGTGTGTGTGTGTGTGGGGGGGGGTGTGTGGGGTGGGTGTGCGTGTGTGTCGGTGCGTGTGCGTGTGTGTGTGCTGTGTGCGTGTGCGTGTGCGTGTGCGTGTGCGTGGTGGGTGTGGGTGGGGTGTGGTGGGTGTGGGTGTGGGTGTGGGTGTGGGGTGGGTGTGGGTGTGTGGGTGTGGGTGTGGGTGGTGGGTGTGGGTGGTGGGTGGGGTGTGGGGGGTGGGTGGGTGGGGGGGTGGGTGGGTGGGTGGGTGGGTGGGTGGGGTGGGGGGGGTGGGTGGGGGGGTGGGTGGGTGGGTGTGTGTGTGTGTGTGTGTGTGTGTGTGTGTGTGTGTCTGTGTGTCTCTGTGTGTCTCTGTGTGTGTGTGTGTGTCTGTCTGCCTGCCTGTCTGTCTGTCTGTGTGTCTGTGTGTGTGTGTGTGTCTCTGTGTGTCTCTGTGTGTCTCTGTGTGTGTGTGTGTGTGTGTGTGTCTTTGTGTGTGTGTGTGTCTTTGTGTGTCTGTGTGTCTCTGTGTGTGCGTGTGTGTCTGTGTGTGTGTCAGAGCGTGTGTGAGTGGTGTGTGAGTGGCATGTGTCAGAGAGAGGGAGAGAGAGAGAGAGAGAGAGAGAGAGAGAGAGAGGGAGGGAGAGAGAGAGAGAGAGAAAGAAAGAGAGTGAGTGAGAGTGTGTCTCTGTGTGTGTGTGTGTGTGTGTATAAGGCCACCAACCAACGCCATGAGGACTCACACTCTCGATGGGGAGTACGGTTCACGGGTGTTGCAGGGGGTTTGCTTTGGATGCCGTGCTTCAGGGGTTGCCAACCCATTGGACCGACGCAATCGGGCCGCTGTGATTCTCAGCATGTCCATCGCTCGCTGCGATCGTCCCGCAATTGCGATGGCCTTAGGGGGATTGCGGGGTGAGCCCAGCGAGCGCTGTAGTCTGGTTGCAGTAGAGGGCATGACACGGCATGACCTGACAGTCTCGTCTAACTATCAGGACCTCACCCCATCACCCATCACGAGCCAAAGGGGCCCCTTACCAGTGTCCCAGTGTGCAGTTAGATCTTGGGTTCTTACAGACCAACCCCTTAAGACCTTAAGAGCCTCCACATTACCTCCACGTTATTAGCATCAGGGCTCCTTCCGGAATCGCTTGGCGCTGTTGGTGTTGATGGCTTTCATGACAATCGTGGAGCCCTCTCAGGAAAGCAGTTGCGATTTCGGTGTCGCAGCACAGCGCGTGAAACAAGTCGCCGCTTCTCTGCGTTATGGTCTTTTCCGGAGAATCCTGAATATCTGATATCTGGGACAGTATTTGCAACAGGTGCACGAAAAACGGCCCCCAGCCATCTGACCTTAAACGTCGGCGAAGCAAAGCGCACTCTTGCAAGGGAATGTAAGAGGTTCCCTATTGCCGGAGTGGTTCGGACTAACAATGAACTTCTTCAAGCAACGGCAGGGAACACAAGCACCTCCAAGATTGTCCGCACCAAAATCTTCGAAATCCTCGGGCTGCAAACAGCACGTGAGAGAACTAGGACCCAGAGTGGGCTCTGAGGAACTATTGGTTGCTGCTGCCCAGGAACAAATAGATACAGCCTGCTCCGGACCACCGGTCTAGGAGAGCTCTAGTTCCTCCTTTTAGGATCCCACAGGTTTAGGGAGGATCCGAAGGAAACGAGGATTGATCACAAGCTTCAGGGGCCCTTCTTTGCCAACCTGCCCTACTCTATGTGTATAGAACCGGGCGATGCTTCTGCCCCAGTGATTACAAGGTTTGGCAGACTCTACGCCCCACGCCGACATTTTTGTGGGCTTCGGGTGCTTGTCTTCTATGGTTGTATTGATAGGTACGGGGAGTCGTTCTTCCCCGAGGGTCAGACTTGTGTGAAGGAAGTCCTCTAGCTTCAAAACTAACCCCATATGCCATATATTGCCATATGCTACAGAGCAACTCGCAGAATGCAAGAATCAAAGCACTCCCTGAAGTTGCGGTGGTCTCCAGACTGGGCCCTGGTCCATGTACCTGAAACCAAGGCCCTCTTAACCAGCGTGAGGGCGAGGGTCAGAGTCAGTGACCATCGCAATGAATTGGCTGCCTTCTCATCTACAAGCCTTGGCAGGCACAGTTACCTGGAAGGCTTGCCCCATCTGTGACATTCATCGACCCGAAACCCTAAACCCTAAACCCCCCGACCTGAAAGGAAAGGGGGGGGGACAAGCGGGAGCAAGCTCGGACTTGCCGGCGGTTCCCCCCTTTGTCCGGCGAGAGGAATTGCAGAACTGTGGGGAGTGTACCTTGTGATCCTCCGCTCCTCAAAGGGCCAAGAAATGAACCATTTCATGGTGATAGTGAGAGTATTTATTCTATTTTCTTTATGAATACTGAGAATGGCCTCAGAAGTATATCCAAAGCGACCCCCCCCCCCTTTCACTCTCCAGTTTACAACCCTTACGGCCCCAGATGAGGCCCCAAACAGGGTCCCGGCTCCCCCCATAGCCCCCACACTCCCCCTTGGACTGATCAGCTGGAGCTTCTGAACTTCAGCGTGAGTTTTTTTGTTGGTGCTCGTGTTGTTTCATTCGAGGCTTCTCCGTCCGCCAAGTCTGCATGTGTTTCGCCATGCAGCAGATATGTGATCCATTTAGGCCATCATGTATCCTCTCCCCTCATGCCCACCTTACTGAACGGATCCTCAAGTGAATTCTGAATGCGACACCAGGAGTATCTACACCTCTGAATAACCAGCCGGCGAAGAAGAACGCACTGCTGTGCAGCTGTGTTGCATCATCTGCAGGACCTGGCTCCAGGCCTCCAGGCAGTTCCAGCATCACAAAATGCTCAGGGAGGCGTGGCTCCTCTTCCCTCATGCTGCCTTGGTAGTTTCAACCTTTTTCGCAGAAGAACTCTAAAATGACGGATGCAGGAGGGGGCGTGATGGGGCATGTATCGGATTGCCTGAGGGACTGTCGCGGCCCGGGTTCCACGATAAGTAGCGCCCCCTAAACCCCACCAAGCCAAACTGAAGCTCCCAAAACACCCAACGTTATACCCAAAGCTGAAACTTCGATTTCATTGAGCAATTGAAACCTTGAGCACTGAAGCTAATAGACCATGTCTCAGCTCCTGCTTCAACTTCCCCCGCCTCATATTTCACCCTTGAGCTCTGACACTCAAAAAAACTCCTTCCAGTATACGCTTGCGCAGCACAGAGTTTGCTTGCGCATGCAGCATGCCCCAGTTTGCAGGTCTGGAACCCAAGTGTACGGGAATGCCTTCGCAACAAAAGATGACAATGACATGATGGTACTCTGACTGGCTGCATCTAACTCTTCACATTCGTCTACATAGGTTTGGGATCTCGGCGTTTCGGGTGCCACCAGTCCATCCCACAGCAAGCAGAAATCCTCATCCACGACACTACGACACCCCAAACAAACCCCTTAATATCCAACGTGACAGAAACAGGAATACTTAAACCACAAACATCTGCATAAGTCCCGCCTCTATGAAGGGCGGAAACAACTCGGTTGGAATGCCATACCCCACATGACCTTGGCAAGCAGGCGGGTTGTGAAATGGGGTTAAAGCCTAGGGGGGGGGATATAGGATGCGATGTCTGGGGTCAGCCCCTACTTGCTGAATCCCCCCGTTTGACCAGGGTTTTGGGTCACAATGACATTTTGCCTACTTTGGACCCCGAGCTGTGCAAAAACTCTATGCTACCTGTGCGAGTGATGCAGTACAACATACAGTAGACGCCGCCGCCCGACTTCCTTTAGAAACAAGAGCCCCCGAAAGCACAACCTCTTTGCGCTCAAGGCCCCAAGTTCCTGCTAAGCCACGCAGGCCCAAAGCTGATATCTCTTCGACCATCTCCCTCGGCCTCCCAGCAGGATCACAGGTGCATGACAGGCATCGCATGGCATCGCTGTGCAGCACTGGTCCAGGGTGTGTGTCAGAAGCCCATCTGTGGTAGGGAGTCAATGGACAAGTGCTGCTGGATGTACGTTCAAAATCCTGCGCAGAACGCAGGGGCGTGTTCGAGGTCTACTGGCATAAGGATGGTCAGATCACGCGTCAGCCCATGTTGAACTAATCTCCGCTCCTCAAGCCGCGAAAGCTCAAGAATTCCAATGCAATTTACCCTCACTACGTCTCCACATAAGGGCTTGTTGGCTGCTCCGTGGGCCTCTTGTACATTTCCAAGGACATCTCCAGCACCTTACGGAAGAGGCCGCGGCGGAGAGTCGAAACAGGTTTAGGAAAGAACCGATTGTTCAAGCTCGTTAACATGGCAAGCCAGGCAAGGCTTTCGGGTCTGAAGGTCAGGGCTCTTTAACCTCACCCCTCCCAAACCCTCAGCCCCAACTCCGGAAGAGGCAACCATAAGCCCTAAGCTGGAAGTTCAATCAACGATGAAACTCTAGGCTGCGATTGCTGCGGAGTTTGGGAGGTAGGATTGCTAAGGGTTTGCTACACTTGTTCAAGGACTTTTGGGGTTTTTTCAGGTGTTGCTTAGGTTTTGTAGGGCTGCTGGGTGAGGGACTTTTGGGGTAGACAAAGCTTGACCACCCTAACAGAGGGATCCAGCTTAAACCCATTCATCAAGCAGGACAGGACTATCAAACGGCTCGCAGTCGACATGCCGAAACATTTATTACATCTTTATCTCCCTGCAGAATTGCAACAGGTCGTACAACTCCGCCTTGTCTGCAATGAAGTTCAATCGCGTCGACGACTGCTTGAAGTAGTCCTGCCCTTTGGGCGCCACCCTTAGCTCAGCTGGTCTTTCTAGCTGCTCTATTCGATTGCCCCCTCCCTCTCCACCTCGGGGGATTCAGCCCTATCCTTCTTCCTCTCCAGCAGTACAGTAGCGCCTGTGGCAGCTGTAAACACAGCCTGGCTGCTCGCGAAAGCGTGGTGCGCAGCAGGCCCAAAACAATTTCAGGGCTCGGTGTCCCTACAGTCTCTTCAGCATCTTGGCGGGATCATGTCGACGAAAAGCATGCGACAAGTAGCTGCCGCAAGCTCGGTTTCTAACATGCAAGAAGTGGGACTCGTTGTCGATTCTATTCATAGCAGCACAGTCCAGCAAGCCATCGTCACACGAATATTCAGTAAAGCAATCAATAGAAGGCAGTCGAGCCAGGCTTGAGGCCACAGCAAGGGAGACCTCGCTTAGACCACGCAAATACGGGGTGCTTTGCGAAGCCAATTAGCCTGCAAACGTATGCTGGGAAAAGCGGAGACTGCAGCTTCCTGTGCACCCTTGGAAAAAACCAAGCCTTAAACCCGAAACCCTAACCCTGACCACACCACAGGGGGTGGGGCGGGGGGGGGGGTTGGCGGAGGCGACTGCGCCGGCAGCAGACATGGTTTTGATAAAGCTGGTGGGCTAATGCTCGATGCAGCTCAGCTGCCCAAAAAACACCTTGTACACATCGCGCCGCATTTGCTGGACGATGTCATCCGACAGGTTCCTGATGAACTTGTCGGCGGCCCGCTGATATCCTGACAGATTTGTTCCCTTACAATTTGCAGAAAGCAACTACCTGTGTTCATTTCAAGCCAGCTGATTCACCCTTCCGTGATGCATGATCCTCAATGAAAAATCAGTTCCTGCAGGCGCATGCACAAACCTTCTCCGGGCAAAACCTGCACCCAACGAGCTCGAATGGCAAGCGGCGCAGCAAGCCAAACTCACAAACACCCAGATGCCGAACTACTACAAGATACTGCCGGATCCTTTGATGCCCGCGGTCTGGCGCTTGATCATTCGCTCAGTATTGTCCCAGAACCAGGTCCAAGCGACCTTTTCAACTCATCCAGCAAGCTTTCGTCATCGAGGGGATTCGAGGGGGGCGTTCTCGTGTACAGTCTCAGGAGCTGGCAGGTGTTGGCAACTTACTCAGAACCCTTTCAATAACCGCACGAGATTCTCCGGCCATGGCCCCAACTAACTACGCCTGCAATTTATTAACTACTCAGTCTCCAGAAGTACTTCAGCCGTCCCGAAAGCAAAGCGGCAGACATCTTCGCATCACCTTTGAGCAGAAACGTACAGCTGCCGCACTGCATCGTCAGCACCCTGCAATCTACCCAGGCCCATCGACGAAAAACCAGCATGTTCCGACGGAACCTGTTTCTTGCTCGATGGCAGCAGCCGAAAGGCCCCGAGAGGGCCCCCCCCGTATACAAAATGGGCAAAGGGGGTGGGGGGGGGGGGATCCTCGCAGCGCGCCTCGTGCTCGACGCCCCAGATTTTGGGGACCAGTGAGCGAAGCGATGCCAACATGATGGCCTGCTCCCCGATATGCTGATTCTTAAGCGTGTCAGTCTGAGATTGGGGGTAGGCACGACATGTGAAGTGCTGCTCAGCTGAGGGTCTGCTTAATGCATACACAAGATGAAAGTCACAAGCGAAACAAAGGCTGCGTCCTTCAGATACTTCAGATAAATGAGCAGCAACATCTTTTGGCATATCCTAGTGAAAGGGGTTTCATTACAGGAGTTATTTGCAAGACATCAGGCAATACAGCTCACACGCATCGAACGCTTTCGGGGGTCCTTGAACTCCGCATAGATGATGGGCTCCTGGCCAGCTGTCTGGCATGGAACGCTCTTGGAATGCAGGAAGGCAGTAAGATGCCTGAAATAGGTTTGGTTGAGGATGTGTGGCCTGCAGGCCGAAGTATCAGTACTTGGCTCATGTGTGCCTTGGGCCTGAACGCAAGGTCAAGCACCCTACACGATGGTAATCTGTAGCACTTGCGGTAATCTGTAGCACTTGCGCGAATCCCCACGCAGAACCCTCAGCGTACTGTTTCCCTCCTTGTACTTCACAAGGACCAGGGCCAGTACATCACACTCCTCCTGGAGTCTGTAAGAGTTGGCTGCGTTCCTGAGATGGACCAGGCAGCCATACACTGAAAAGTCCGGATCTGGGGCTGGTCACTTGCTTTGCAGATTTCTTCTCTCTAACACAATCTGCTTTGGGATGTTTCATTCTAATCGGGGGTACTATAATCCCTATTAAGGACTGTTAGTATAAGGGGGAACATCTCAACATCTGCTCCTCCAGCCACTGCCAACAGCAGCGTGTCTTGAGCTCTTGCAGAAATCATCCGGCTTGGATGAGGGAGCGCACTTGTGCCGAGGTTTCCACAGATGCTATGCAGCTGGTACAGTAGACTCCAAAAAGTTGGAACATCTTTGTCCCCATACCCCAAAAGGTATCCTAAAGGGGATCCCAGCCATAATCATCCTTATGTATCCTTATACCATGTTCCAACTTTGTGGAGTTTGCTGTAAGCTTTTTTGATACACTTATACATTTCAATGGCTCAGGGGGCCCCACTCTAGACTCAAACCATGCAATGCAACGTACCCCCTCTTTCACCAACTTCAAGAAGAGGAAGAATGTCCCTCACACAGCGTGTGTCGCAACCATGGCGAGAACAGTGATGTCTGCAAGAATGCTTGCAACAACTGCCCAGACAGCGGCAACAAAGAAACTCATCTTTCAACAACGTTCAGCCCTGATAGTAGCGCAGCAAGGAGCAGAACCATCGCCTCAAACTGATCGAGAACCTGTCATTTCAACCAAAGCAGATCTGTGACATCTGCCAAAAGTCTGGCCGAAACAGCGTGCTCAAGGCTCGGGGTTGGGTTGACGCAAAGGGAGCTGTGTCCTCATGCACAAGAAACCCCATGTAATATAGGATCATGAGTGCTGTACCTTTAGGACGTATTATTGACCCTAAGCTCTCATTCTAATGCTGCACCAACCTCGCGACCATAGAATTATTGAGTCATGAGTGTTCTCTCTTCATGGAACTAGCCCGTATTATTAATAGTGAAGAGAACAAAGTGAACAAGGATACAAATGTAGTGAATTTATGAACGGAGTGCGTGATCCGCGTGAACTTGTGAACGAAACGCACCCTTGGGACTCAATATTAATGCTGTAACCACCAGGAATACTATTAATAATGGGGTTTCTAGCTCTTGTTATTCACTCACTTGTATAGCCTGGTTGTTACATTAAATACGAAGAGAACGCAGTGAACTTGTGAACGAAGTGTGTGTTACGTTCACGCTTATATTAATTTCATGCGTTCATTCACTCTGTTCATTCGCTTATAAATTAATATAATGCGTTCTCTTCACAGTATTAATATTATTAATGGTGTGTGAAGAGAGCGGAGTGAGTGAATAAGCGAGAGAAAAGAGCGCATTCACGAGGGCGTCTGATGTGCGGTTCAGTCCAGGGGTGATGATACTGGAGGAATCTCTACATCTTCCGAAGCTCGGGGGGGCAGGCGCAGGAAATAGGGAAGCGGTCTGGGTGCTCGCGGTGCATCCAGCCGTAGTGATTCGGTCCGAGGGACGGGATTCATCCAGCCCAAGCTGCCAGCGAAGCCCATCACTGCAGCGTTGAAGGTGAACATCTCCTCGGGTGCGCTTCTTCGTGATGTCGGGTTTGTCCATGTGTAAAACGCGGCATTTGGAAGTTGAGGGCAGCTTCAGCGGGACGTCGCGTAGTGTACCTACTATGAATACTCAGTCTGGCCTTTTGCACAATCAATGCGTAATCGCGCATGGGCCTTCCAAAGCCATATGGCCCCCATTCTCAACCCCTGTCCGTGAATCAACTGAAAGGATGAGTGACCCGGACATGCTGGACATCCGAGAGCACGGACTACATCATCTGCGCAACATGGGATCCCATCTGGAGAAAGTGGTGCGATTTGACCATGCGTATAAACTAAATCAATAATGAAGACTTGTAAATATTACAAGCAGGACTTTCGGGCAAACAGCCCCTTTCAAGGCTGCTTTTGTTCTGAAAGCTGGATGTTGACAAGCAAACAAAGCCATACCGCCATAACCACTTACTTGCACTAATCCTGCGATATCTGTTCGCTCACGCAATCACCGGCGCAGAGGATACGGATGCAAGCCCAGACGCATTGAAGTTCTCTGGAACTTTGGTCCCGATTCCTTTGGACATGGGCTTCTTGTCGGCATCCTCACCAGGACAGCTTGGTGGCATCAGACACAAGCGTGGGACGGCGTAGACCTTATAAAGACTTCCACCCCCAACATGGAAGTGGCACCCTGTCCGCCCTGTCCTCCATCTTGCCACCTGTGGCCTAGCAGCTCTAGCACAGGTCGCAAGCAAACGTCCCGCATCACCGGCTGCTAGTGCAGGCTTAGCTTCCAGGCAGACATGCAACTGTTTCGCAAAATTTCGGACTACGAGTACCTGCCCTGGAATAGAGGAAGCATTTCTCAGAAACGGGTCGATTAACCAATTCACCAATAGTGCCCATGCCCAACATGCGAATCGAGGCCCCGAATGCAAGCCACTTGGCGCCCAAACCAATCCACGCGACTTTGCAACCTTCAACAACCTTAACAGCACATATGGTCTCGGGCTACCACCCACCCACCCCGCATGGTACATCCTCCCTTGGATCCCTACCCCCCACGCTCCCCCCTGTGGTTGAAGGTTTAAGAGACCGGCCGCCCGTGCTACCCCCCTGCGCCCCCCCCCCCTTTGGATGGGGCTTAGTGTTTAGGGTTTAAGGCTTAAGGTTTAGGGTTTACAGGGGTTTACAGGGGTTTACATAAGTTTAGGGTTTCAGGTTAGCCGTTTAGCCCACCCTGCCTGTGCTATGAATGGGGGGTTGGCGTTTGGGGTTGAAGGTTTACGGTTTAGGGTTAGGGGAGAGGTTTTGGGTTTTTGCGGGGGGACACCTTGGGGGGGGGATACCATGAAGGGAGGGGGAGGGTGGGTAGGGCCCGGGAACCCGAGACCAGGTGAGGACTCCAGCACGAGTTGCTGAAAGCTGCAGTTCAGGGGTGCTTCCCTCACGCTGGGACAATCAGGTTCTTGGACTGTCAATTGGGATGTTCCCCCTTACACTGACAGTCCTTGATAGGGATTCTATATCATCCCTATTAAGGACTGTTCGTATAAGGGGGAACATCCCCAACTATCAAGGTCTCTAGCGTTTGGGATCGTTTGGGCTAACACAGGTCAGGCCTGACCGCTGGCTTTGCCAGCGCCCTGCTCACCTGGCCAAATAGCCTTAATTATGGGGGGAACTTGGGGGGGGGTAGTATAGAGGCAAATGTATGGAGGGTAGTAGGGGAACCCATGAGTACATGAACCAAGCAGCTCCGAACACTCACAGGAGAGAGACATACGGATCGGATCAAACATTCAGCCAATGCTAAGGCCTGAGGTTGGACCCTACATCCTTCCATCATTTGTCCATGGGCACCCAAACCCCAACCCAATCTTCTGTAGTAACATGCTCCGATGAGACAAGCTCTCGAAGCCTGAAGAGCACCGCAGTGACAAGAAGGGCCAGGTTTGGAAGCCTATTGGGCCTGGTAACGGCCCAAAATGTATCCACAAGCAACGTCTGTGGGCCGCGACTCACAGAGCTTTAACTGTCTCCAGTTGTTTCGACTCATGGTTTTGCGGTTTTGCGGGCGATGCTTGCGTTCGGAGGCGTGGCCTGGCGGGCTTGCGGCGCCCTCTTCGGCCTGTCGCAGGAAGGACTAAAGAACCACCAAAGATCAATTTGGAGGCCGGGGTTCGGTTGAACTGCGGTCCCGTTCTTAGTCTTATGCCTTCAGATGGAAGCCTCACATGGCAACAAGAGGGCAAAGGCAGGAAGGAAGGGTTTAGACGGTTTAGAGTTTAGAGATGCAAGCGCGGTGTGAAAGGAAGAGGGAAGAGGCAGGAAGGCTGAATATCAAGTCTAAATCAATCAGCAGTAGTAAAAAGCAATAACGAAAAGACATCTCCAATAAGAAAGACTCAAACCCCATTATCGTAGATAAACCACCGATGCTTTTCTGCATACTCTCCTGCATCTTAAGCCACCCAAAGCTTTCGCACCCAGCACCCGCAAGTCGAAATTCCCTATAGCTAAACGGTTGCACTGGGGCACCCGGGTTCTGAATCTGTGCCCAGAGCGCATGGATTGATTCTGGGATATTCTCGGTTATGATTATAAGGATGAGTATGCACAGGCTGCGTGGCTCACTCTTAAAAAGTGCATTGCGGCATCTATATGTAGGGAATGGGTTAGAGCCAGCAACGCTTCGGGTGTCTGCCAGGCCTCGCCGCCAGCCGCCTGCAGCCAACGTGTCTGATATTGGGGGGGGAGGGGGTTCGAAAGGCATTCTCGGTTGACCTGGCCTGATTACTGGAAATGTGTGCAGGGCCGGCTACTGCACAAACTTTCAAGAACAAAAATAGCTCCAAAACGGATTGCGACAAGCCTTCAGCAACCTTAAACCCTGAACCCTAAAGCAACTACGCTGCCCACTCCATGATGCCGTACAACTCGCAGTTGCATTTGGGACCCTGCCTCCGCGTTTGGATTTAGCTCTGTCTCGTCTGTGACGCCTCAGGTGACGACCTATGAGCTCTTCGCCGTGTACCTAACCTGTAAGCCTGATATAGCCGAAACGAACGCCGAGGATCAATATTGCAGCCTGAACCTGCCAACTAGGGGATTTGTTTTGCTTGTCCGTCTGAATCTCCGCCCCTAAAATTCTGCCCCAAAGCCTGCTTGAGGCTCTTGCGCCTTTGGCACAGCAACTCCAAGCCAGAAAAGCATTAAAGCACATGGATGGATACTGCCGGGCGATCGATGCAAGACAAAGTTTCTGCAGCGCTATCTTTTGCATGTGCTGAAAAAGCCCTATCGCATTTGGGACTTATCCACTTATTGGGGTGGAGCTTCTTCCTTTTACCAGATTGTCAAATGGGCCACCTGCAAAGCCTGCCCCACCACATATGCCTGCTGCAGGCACTCAGCCATGCTCCTCAATGCATTGAAGGGCCTTGTGCCATTTATAGCCAAGTCGCGTGTATCGCTGGCCTCAGAATGTGGCCATCATGGGGCTAAGAACTGCGGAATTCGGGCGTAAATGAGGCTGGGAAGGAGGTGTAGGGACCTCTACAGTTAGCTTTCGCACGCGGCTCTCCCTCTCTGTTTCAACGCAGTTGACTTTAAACGAAAAACGCGGATTCTTCTTGGGTTCAAGTGGGCGAAAGGAAAGCGGAGCTGTTGAAGAGCATGCTCGAGCGGACGCTGGGCGATTGCGGTCAGACTTGGATGAAATAAGCAAAGCCTTCAATTGCTTACAACCTGTAGTCCTGCGCGCTGCGTGATTGCCACTAGACGTCCAATTTCCAGACTCTCCAGCAAGACTCTGGCCCCGAAGGAATTATGCTGGTCGCAGAATGCTTCGCACTAATTCAACCGGCGGAACCAAAGCAACGCCTACAGTGCCTACAGCAGCATGATTAACACGACGACTGCTGCAAGCGAGTCTCGGCTATCCAGCTGACTCGAAGGGTGTTGAAGCGCTCAGCATACTCCCGGCGGATGTAGATCATAGCGCCCCCAACATAATTCATGAGTGCTTGTAGCCCAGCACGCGCCTGTCGCTTGCAAGGTGCGACATCGGCACAGTTAGCAGGCACGATTTTGCCTTACAGGTTAATGGCAGGGCTCGCGCCAGGATCCGCTTGTCATGAAAGCCACAAGCTGAAACTGACTAATGAATCACTAATGAATCTCTGAATGGGCAACTGGAGACCTGAATAAACAGGAACCGAACTCGCACCATTTTAGCCTGTGCTCATCACAAAGTCGAAGCAAAAGCCTGGAGGCCCTTGAGGCCTGTTCTGTGCTGACGGGCCTGTGGTCCCGGAGCCGGAGCTCGGCTGAGCTCGGGAGCTCCAAGACTGTGAGTTGCAAAGCGTTGCAAAGCGTTGCAAAGTCTGCTACATCGCTGCCTTGCCGTGGAAGTTGGCACCAAGCTCATTGTCAAACAGCTCCAGAAGGGCATCGCGGAAAACACCGACTCGCGGCGTTGTCACATCCTCAGCTTACGGGGAGATTTACGCGACCAGCAAAGGCTGTAGACTCTAGGCAGGATCAAGATGGCACATCCACAACACGGGATCGAACAATCTCCAGATTCTTCTCGCGAGGTTCCCGATGCACGCGCTTCATTCCCGGTGGGTTGCCAAGGCTTCTTCATCTGCTGTCCTAACTTCTAGCCTGGTCCTCAGGCTTTGCTGCCATATTGACTTGCAAGACACTGCAGGGGTTCGAGAGCGCCCCCGCTCTCGACTGCCACTGCATGAGATTGTGAGACAAAAACCCAGCTCCTGCAACTCATCCTCTTGAATCTCCGGAAGCCCTAAACCCTCTCGAACCGCTTGGAACACTCCAGGGCTCAATGTCCAAATGCTGAAAGCCCAACGTCTCCGTCACCGTCTGCACATGAGCATTGCAGGCTGGTGGGTTTGGGCACCATCCCTTTCTCCCCTGTATCCCATAGGCACGGCGTATCCACTATCTGAAGTTCAAGGTCCGGCTTCTTTTGCCACGAGCTTGCATGAGCAACTCGCCATCAAGCATCAGAGTTAAGCATCTAAGGGGAAAGGGCCAAGACTCTTCCTCCATGTGTCATGCAGAGGGGATCTATGGCATGACTTAACTGGTCGCGAGAGACTGTCCGCCTCTGTCTGCCGTGCTGCTTTCTTTTCGTTGATTGCGTGCTAGGAGGTGGGACTCGGTTTTTGCCGACCCAGAACCCCAAGGACCCTCAATACGCACACGAAACCATTGTTTACGACGACGAGCAACATGAGTTCAACCAGATACATCCTGTCAGTGCGACATGTTACACATGTTACACTTCAGAGGGCTCCCAGAGCCTTAACTCCTGAAGGCCTGATCCGGGACCGAGCCTTCAGTGCGGCAGGATCGTCGAGATCAAAGACTAATTGGTTCATGAAGTTGATAAAACGCATCGCCATTACAGATCGTGGGGTCCTTGGATGGCATCGCACGGTTTTTGTTCTGCCTGTTTACGAGATCGACTGTTGGTGACTACTTTTTGGGAGCCTTCTGAGCTGGAGAGTTACGTAGGTTGATGAAGGCTACCACTGCCTACAGCGGCTTGCCCCAGAAGGTCTTCAACCCTCAGAGAACCGCACTCTTGACACCGTCTCTTCGCGAACCGATGCTTTGCATGCCCACGGCCGGCACCCCCCGAAAAAGCCCCCGACACCATTTTGCATAGTATGCCTGGCTTGAACCGGAACTTTTCCCGAAGCCACGCTTCGCCGCAAAGTAAAAGCAATATATATATATATATATATAGTCTCTGGACTACTGCGTCCTCAGGCCTTCACACCTTCACTGAAAGGAGGGCATAAAGAGCTGCTGGAGGATATGCTTGCAATTTAGACACCGGCAGTCCTAGCAGAAACAGGCTAAACAGACTCTACAGGCATTGCAGTGCATTGCATTGCTTGCCGTACGTCCTGTCACTGCTTCAGCTAGGAGGCTTGAACAACTTCTGCAACTCCGGCGCTGCATCCTGGATTGCATGCGGTTTTGCGCCTCTTTCGGCCCGGTACATCCATCTCCAACAACGGAACAACGAAACTGCCAGCATGTCATGCCCTGCATCCATGTCGGCTCTGTTTCAAGCCAATTCATAGTTCGTCAACTATAAGACTTTTGGAAGCCTAGGGAGCTTTCGGCATCTGACCAGTTCATTGTTGCGCGACATTGAGCCTCCCTGAAGAGACTCGCTAGGACCCGATGATACGTGCCAATGTGCTTTTTAGAAGCCTCGTCCTCGTATATAAATGATCCTTGCACCATTGTTTGTGGGGAAACTCATGGGCCTTGGGGACCTGTTTGGTGCACCGGGATTTTGTTGTCATTGTTCTGATTTGTCTGTTCACGTTTTACATTGTGCGTTCGTGTTTCGTATCAACTGAGGCAACTGTTACGGGAAGATGTCAGCCGTTTGCACAGCGCTTAATTATTCTCTAGCGGACTGGGCTGCCACCTTGTGACATTTCCCAAGGCTTGGAAGGCATCAAGCTCGAACGGTACTTGCGCATGTTCGCATCATTCGACTTGCAGCATGAGTAGGGTTACAGAACAAAAGACCATGCCCTTCACTATGAAAGCATTCTGTCAATGTGCCTCCAGCCCAAAGAAAACTTACGCCATGACCGCCTGGATCACAGGCCCCATGTGCCAGACTATGTCAGGAATGCAAGGTATGCAAGTTGATGCAATGTCAGCACAAAAGAAGGCTGGCGTCGAAAATCGCGGCGTACACGGCTTCGCCGGCCGCATCTCTGGACCCAGCGGACTCGAGGAAGGTAGTGAAGGCGTTCCTTGGGCAACTTTTTTTTGCTCTGCGGTTGATGACTTCAATTGGTTCAGAAAAGGTTCTAATGATAAGAAGGGTTCAAAAGGGGATGCATGTCCGACGTGAAACCGCATGTGAACAAAAAAGAGGGCTCAACCTCACTGCTTGAGTTTTGAAGCGGGGAGCCGACTCCTGGGAAGTTTCACTACAGAGCCTTCACAGAGCCATCTTCCCTTCCCGTGCTTGGGTCTCTGTTGCTGCTGCCTTGCTTACGTAATCCAATGGAAAGCGAGTCAGGGTCTAGCAGTTAAGGCCATAAACAAGGGTTAGTAAGGTCGGTTGAGAACCACAGACGCACAAGCATGTAATAGAAGGCTGACAGAAATTCGGACAACAATGCAGGTTAGTTCTCGTAGGTCTCCTGGCATATCAAGGCTCCGCTACACTCCGGAACACTTCCAAAGAGAACTCTTGCGCCTGAGCCTCTGAACTTCCTCTACGACGTCCAGGGGAAGCTGCATCTCGCCGAAGATGTGATCTTGGACATCTACAAGCAAAGCCTCGATGTCTTCGACCTTGATTGGACTTGCTTTAGTTGCTTTGGGCCATTTGGGCTATGGGATGCTTTTGGGGTAGTTAATGGTACTCGTCAGCACAAGAACCCCTGAGACTCATCTGCCCATACAGCCGCTGTGTGAGAAGATGCTCCCCCAATCCCCCTTGAACGTGTCAAGCCCCCCATGTTTTGGTGTTTTGGCTCAGTGCACCTCCGTCTCTGGCTCGCCTAGGTCTTCTGCACCTTCCCTTACATCTCCATCTGGCACCTGTGCTGGGCTGCTAGGCTTGGGGGTCGAGGGTGTAAGATTGTGCGTGCCTTTTCGACAGAGAGACGACAGGCGCCTACGGCATGCTGCAACGAGGAGAGGCGCCTCTTCCCTTAACCGCCCCAGACGAAAAACACCACCAGAAAGCCCGGGCGCATGGACGAATGCTGGGGAGCGTTGCTCCTCATCAACATCCTGGCAGCTGGAAGCATCGAGTTTCTTAATTTCCTGCAGGAACAATAGAAGCTGGTTGCAGAGATGGCCTTCCTTCAGACGCAGCACATCATAGGTGCAATTTGTTATCCTAGTTTACCTTGGCCTGCTTCACCTTACCAGGCACCCTGACTCGGCTAAGTGCAGCGTCAAAAGGTATATTATATACCCAGAAAGACCTCATGGGGAGCCACTGAGGGGCTGTGAGAGGGTGCAGGTCCGGGTGACTCTTGTGCTCCTGTTCTTGGCTCGTGACGGCCAAATTCTTGAGTCGATCTCGACAGCCTACATTTACATGTTGGGTCTATGATGGCCTATGCCTGTGCCTGTCCAGTCGTGGCAAGCACCGCAAAATACCCATCCGTGCATCCCCGGTAAAACCAACCCTAAACCCTAAACCCTAAACCCTAAACCCTAAACCCTAAACGATAGCAAATAGGCACCCAGGCCTCATCCCCGGGCTCCTGATGGCAGGGCAGACTTAATCTACGGACGGCGCATACGTGTTTCAGGATATGTGCTCAGGGCAACTACGTAAGGTTGGGAGCGTTTGTCTTGCTCCTGCATTTGCAAGTACTTACGATGAACTTCACTCGCAAATCTTGTGGTAAATGATGCTAGAATGAAGCTGGCAGGCGATGAGTTTCAGAATTATAGGGCCACATCAGATAGTGGTTGCCCAGAAGGGCTTTATTGGGGAGCCACGAAACGCCTATCGGAGGTCATTGTCAAAGCAACGTGCTTAACACAGAGGGCTTCACCTTAAACGATCGGAACGCCTTTTCAACCCATGAAATGCTCAATCCCGGTGGCTTCGAGAGTTCCGGGTCTACGGCGCTCTTTGGAAGAGCTAGAGATGGACGCACATGTTTCGTGTGTCGCGTGCCATGTGTCAAACGGGGTTACGGCGTCCTCCGCGTCCTGAAAGGACATGGGTTCCGCCTGCGCAGGAAGCGGGGCATGAAGAGGCGGCACGGTGGAACCGGGTAGACATCCTCACAAACCCACTGTAGCGCACAGTTCCGAGACCGCCAAACCTCAATTGCGAGTGTTGGCCGACTGTGAGGCCTGGTGCGCCGCCTGACCTCGCACATGAGATCATTCGGCCCGCACCGCTTTTGGATCTGAAATGTCAGCAGGCACATAAACTCTGCTCGGATCCGCCCTGACCCCAAGATTTGAAAACTCAAGTGCCTCCAAGGAGACGTGTACGACAGAAAGTAGAAAAAGAGCTGATCGGACAAAGGCTTTTGTCGTTTCTGAACCTCCAGGTTGGGCTGCTTATGCTATCAGCCGTGATGGGAGCTTCTTGTCCGATCTGTCATCTAAGCAATGGATTCAAACATCCACACACACAAGAACATTTTTTACTGTGCAAGTATTTCGACTCAGCCAGATCGCGCACGGAACGTTTCTTTGCTAAATCGCTGGACTGATGTGGTCACCCCCTACATGTCTGATTAACATCTGAGTGCAACGAAATACAGAAGCACGAAACACGAATACCAATGGAGTCCGTGTATCAAGACCCCCTAGACACCTGCCAAATCCCAAATGCACTTCGCTTACCATCATGACCACGACCTCGGGCATCCAACGCATTTTTGGCAATCGGGCCGGAGCGCTCCCAGCTAAGGGCTAAGGGCATGCTCAGATCAGAGCCTGGCACGCTGCGAGGCTGCTTGCCATCACGGCTCGGGCATGCAAACCCAATCAAGGACATGGATTGGGGATATTGAGGGTCTTTGCCACCACCTGCCTTCATGAGGATTGCTAGCGGGAGCACGAACATCGCAATCTGATGGAGTCAAGCTGCTGACCATAGAGATGAGGACGGGAGGGGAGAAGTTGAGCGAGGGTTGTGGCGCAAACTGAGGCTAGGCTCCGTCTCTCTTCTCTGCTTCCTTCGTTCCTTCCTTCCAGTCCTTGCTTCCTTAACCCCCCCTTGAGGTCTCGCTCACGCTCTCTCTCTCTCTCTCTCTCTCTGCATCTCGGCGGGCCACCACCCCCCTAGGTACCGTGAGGCCATCCCCACTCGTCCCCTTGCAACAAGCCTGCTCACCCATTGCTCACGTCCCCAGAAAAAGTGCAGCCGGCTAGGCCCCTCCCCGACCCCTTTCTTACCCCTCCTCCACAACGGCTGTTCGTTTGTCAGACAACTGCGTCTCCGGCAAACCACCGGCCAAGGCCGGCCGCGTTCCAAGGACCGGACAGGAAGGGCTGCTTGCTTTTGCACTGTAGACCAGCCAAGGGCAGAGCACGCCTGCTGCATTCGGCTTTCAGGTCACTCGCCCTGAATGCTCGAAATCGTATGTCCCGACATGAAATATCGAGCTACCAAAGGATGCAGAGACGAGCTCCGTTCGCCATTGATGCATACACGATGGTCGCAGCACGCATACCGTCATATCTGATGCAACCTGATTCTCCTGTGCACTATGAACGGGCGTTTTGGCACAGGCACACGATCTAATGTCAAGGCGACCGAGGCCGCGGCAAATGCGGCTCCAAGGAGCAAGCGACCGCCATTCTTGTGTAGGAAGCGAACCTAGACTGAGCCAGAGTGATCCATATACTTTCGTGCGACCCCAATCGCTAATTGTGGGCCATGTTGTGCATCACACCTGCTGAAGGAAGCCCATGACACGCTTGTGACAGACTCATGTTGGAGCTTGGGGTTTAGATTCGCTTGAATGTGACGACCAGTCGATCTTCAGGTGTGTTCGTTCAAGGACTTCGGGAAGCCTCTGCCGTCAGCAAGGGGATGAAGAGAAACAAGGTGGTATGAGGCAGCCAAGGCATCATTTACGGATGCCCTGTGCTGTGTACACACTCGGAACTCACAGGTGGAGATTCTGCTCATCGGTATTCTGATGTGTTGATGCCGAGCTGCAGCTGCAAAGCGACTGCAGGAATGGAGCTCTGTGGGGGGGGGGGGGGGTCGCGGGGGCGGTCCCAATCTACAGCAGAGAATGGGCTACGATTTCATGTGGATGTGATTTTTCAGGTGACACGCCACACTGTTGAACGAGTGTGTGTGTGTGACTTGCGACGAAGCCGGTGTGAGTCCTGGGACTTAATTGTGTCCTTCTCCACACGCAAACCCTGCATAGCCCTGCTGCAAATAACTGTAAAGAGTACTGAAGTACTGTAGACTGTAGAGCATGCTAGAGCCCCCTGTCCGAAGAGCACAAGTCTCGAAACCCCTAGGATCGAGCGCGGTACCATCTTTGATGTCTTCATCATGCCGACGTGCGGATCCTCGGGCAGGCAATCTCACGGCCAAGATGAAGAGCCGCCACAAGCAAGACCTTTAAACAAATTCTTTGCACCGTGATGGATCAGACCCGCAAAGGCACGCCGATGAACGCGAATCGGAACAGAATGGTGTCCACATGTGGGCGCTCGATCATGAAACGCTCCGCATCTTTCCCGGAGCCAGGGGCACGTCCTTGCCTTTATCACTGAGACCATGAAGGAGAGAAGCAGGTACGGAACCCCATGGTAATGATGGCAACACTCGAAAGTGCAAATCACTGAGGTCTTCACCAGGAGCCCCGTGCCAGCCACGGCCATGCCAAACGTAGCGAGGAGGCAGATGATGCCTGTGGATCAGCTGGCAAATTCAAACACATACAGGTCCTGCCTCTCTCACGGGAAAGCAGTCCTTTCACAAAGGCCTACAGGGCCCAAAGGGCGTCGGATCAAGCATCTGCAGTGCATCACGAGTCTGAGAAGAGATTGTATTTGAATTATTGATTTGTCATATGAAATTACGACCTTCTCACATCCTTCTACTACTGCATAATGACCCTCATTACCCTTTTTAGGATTTTTTCTTCCCTCTTTAGCATTCCATCCATGTGCCGTTCTCGAAGCGTGGACCTGAGAGGCCATGCCAAGTGGTGATGTGCGGCTTGCCCATGGCCTGGCAGTCCGAGCGCCGTGGCGAAAGTCATCGAACCGGCAGAGACCCAAGCTGATAGTGAAGACACGGTAACAAGGCCACCCTGCCAGCATTCCTCGGGTTACGACCGCCCATGTCGGAACTTCGAGGCTACACCAACGTGGGTGGCCTCCTTGTTCGAGTGAATGACATACCATCCTGAGCCACACATTCGTTGCGGCATCGTTGCGCTTTGGAGGTGCAGGTCTTTGTAACTTCGCCATTCCGAGCCCTACAGGGTCCTACTGCAATCCTATACTTGAAGGCCATTGGGCTACTACAGGGAACGCATCACGAGGCGCACCCAGATGATCTCAAAACTTTACATTTGAAGCTGGTTTTTTTGCTCAGATCCGCAGTTGCCCTCATGCCCACTATTTCGAAAGGACGTTCTGTGTCGCGTAAGCATGACAACACAATGCAACAAGAAACTCTCTGTGATGTGAACCCAACGATTCACATGATGGGGAAAATTGGCGAACCCTAACTTTAGCCAAAAGCCCACCACGGAACACCCAAAGCATCACTTGAGTAACTGCCGACTTCCTCTAATTATGCAGATGATGCATCGGCTTTTTCCAAGTCAACTCGATGTCTTTTTTCGGGCATGGTGTTTTCTCTTCGATTCTTAGAGTAAAATTCCGAACAGTGGGAGATCCACATTCCTGGGCCCCTGGCCGAAGCCTGCAGTAAGGGCCCCGAGGCCCATCAGGTAGCCGTGGATCTTTGTTGCCCTCAGGCCTAAGTGAAGAGTCTCCCATCTCGCAACCCAGGCTCACCGTGGCGCCATTACGCAGCAGACCCATATACATACAGCGTAGGAACCACAAGAAATCCAAGGAACAGGATTGTGAGCCTTAATTGTCAGAGACACCAGACGTGGCATAACGTACCTGCCCCAAGGACAGAGTGCTCGGGTCTTTATCGCAGTGAAGAGCTGGTGCCGCTACCGAAGCACAAGTTTGAGTTGCAAACGGATTATACATACCAGTGTCAGTCGTGGGACCTCCAAGAGGCCTTTATCTACCTGAAACCTGTCTGCACACCCACCATCACGCAACTGCCCACTAGAAAAGATGCTAGACGGAAACCGCACCTTTACAAACCCTGAAACAGCCTGACACTCTAAATCCAAGCCCCCAACTCTGAATGTCTCTTTCTCTGACGCAGGTACCTCCCATGACTGAAACTCTGAAGTCTGCTAGGCCCCTCGTCCAATGCCCCCCTTGCCATAGCCGGGCACCGTGCCACCAATCTTCTTGACAAGAACTGCGTTGCCCATCAATGCCACATAGCCTACAAGCCTGCCAAGATGTCATGGACAGGCCCGTGGCACAGCAGTATACTGGCACAAGGCTCGCAACATGGTTTCAAGACAACTTCAGTCATACTTGCGGACATATCAAGCCCATCCAGGGTACAAGTACTACAGTGACATAGGCACCCGCAGCGACTTCAAACCCCCCAATCGACTACGCAGTAAGAGGAGATGTAGTTCTGTGTGGCCTCGTCTTGGTCTACTTCACAGCTTTGCTTGGGAAGAGTCGGCCAAGAGCTTCATCGTATGTGACCTCTTGCTACCCGGACCCGTACTCATACGCGTGTGCCCGAAACCTAAGGAAGAACAGGGGAGGAAAGGCGGAGTGGGGGGGGGGGGGGGGTGGTGCGACACTTTCCGACCGAATGGCATGGCAGCAGGATGGTACCAGAACCATACGGGCCAGCGTGGGGTCACAGCCTCGGCGAGACTGTGTCGCATGGGTTGCGGGCACAGGGGACGCAAGGACTTGTAGAGCCTTAATTAAGAGGGAGTGGATGCCGAGAGCACGAAAGCCAAAGAGAGCTCTTCCTCTACATTCCGAAACCCACCTCAGAAGCCTGTTCCTGTTTGCAAAAAGTCGTGAGTCTCCAATTCCCGCCCCAATATGCCCCAATCCCAGAAGCTCAAAGCCAAAGCTTGCACAAGCCTCAACTCCGAGGATGACGCCCAAATGTTCCAAGTCTAAAAAGCCCCATCCGAAGTCTTCTCACATTCTTACGTCCAAAGCCCTTGGACTGGGGATCCTACAGCTGCCGCGATGACGACAAAGAGAATAAGCACAGGGCCCCAGACTTTAAGCCTGGTGAGGTTTACAGGTTCTTCGGCCACGGAGACTGGGCACTTGAGTCACACTTTCTTCAAGAAACTTCTTCCGGATACTTCCCGGAGCGAAAGTTCGGGATTGGGCGCCGAGTACTGGCGAAATCGTCTCTTTGGGCTTGTGGAGGCTGTGCCCTAGGTGTGGGACTCAATTTGTCTGGGTCTGAATTCGCTGCCGGACCTTGTCCAAGGTACAGTCATGCACTGCGACAGGAAGCCCGCACTCCTCGCTGCAAACAAAATCGGCCCAGGGCGCCCCGAAAAGGAGCACGATTCCGATCTCTGAAAGCCCATGAGCCCATGAACCCATTGACCAGCCATAGTTGCCATGAGCACAGCTGGTAAAGATGAACACCATCATTGCGTGGGATCTCTATCCAATCAAGTCGTGCAGTTGTAGATGCCAAGGTGTTCAGAACATGCTGTAACATCGGCTGGCTTGTGGAATCTTCTTCCCTGTCCACGCATGCACAGCTTAGCGGCGCTGAACAAGACGGAAGCTAAGCGCAGTGTGTTTGGGAAATAACCCCCGCACATGTTCGACTACAGTCGAAGTCCATGAAGCGCGTCAAGGATGACAACCGTAACCTTGCTTCAGGTTGCCGTCCTTGCACTGCTCGCACCTTTGGTGGTGTCCTCGCACTTGGTTCTAGACGCAGCACGCGAAGCAATAAGTGAAGCATGTCGGACTACATAGCCGTCGTTCTGCTTTCGAGTCAACGTCTACAAGGGCAGTTGGTGGTCCTCCGATGCCATGGCGCACAGGAGGCAACAAAGGCTCTGCTGCACTCGAGAACTCAAAGGAATGCTGGGTCCACTGGCTCAGCTTTTGCCTGCTGAAGTCACAAGCATCATCTGCACTTCAGGTGTTCGGTTCAAGGCCCTCCAAGAAGGGTGCAAACAGAACAAGTCAAGACAACGCACATGGTGTCTTGTTGCAGCACATGACAGTCCTCATGTAAGAAGCCCTGAGCCACACAAACATCTGCGGCACAGAACAGGTCGGGCTGCTCTACATGGACTGCACCAGGGAAGCATCCTGCCAATTCCCATATGCCGAGCTCGTGAGATTGTGTGCGAGCATCAAGTCTGCCCTGAGCATGGCACTACATCTCGGCCTGAGTATTGGGTGTCGGGGCCTTCGCTAAATTAAACTAGGTGCGTGGGGATACAATGTTGAACTTGATGCCACACCACATGTACAAGCAAGTTCGGAAACTCTTGATGAAGGTTTGCGCACCCCGCTGCAATATCATATCCTTCGCAACCTCCGGAGCCTGCAAGAATCTCTTTCGCCGATATCCCCGATCCGACAGAAGACTTTGGACGGCGCTTCTCACACTCCAGCTAGTTCACACAGCCGGTCAAGACTCCATACCCGGTCCTTCATCTTGGCATCATGCGAGCAGCTGTGCACTGCAAGTCGCTGTACAGGATGCCCGCGAGGTTTCGGAGGGAGCTGGGGCAGCGGCGCCCGCAGTATGCACTAGAAGCAAGCACAAGGACTGCACCTCTCCGCCACGCACACCTCACGTCCATCAGCCCCGTGGTTCCGTGGTTCCATGGTTCGGTGATTCCACCAGAGAAGGACGACATCCGCGACGAGGTCGAGGTCAACTCCGGGCAGGGTTCACAGCCCTTGCCTACAGAAATGGATGGTGCATTGCCCAATTCTCGCAACCTGCAGTCACTTTAGGAAGTCTCCGAATCGCCAAGAGCTGGCAAGGCCTGCACCAGTGCAGAATGTTGGGTGTTGCGACATTCGTGAATCGCTCGGAGACATTCGGACTCCAAAATTTGGAGATGCAGGGATTGGGGAAACAAGTTCAAGACACATTGCGCGGTAGGCCCACACCCAAAACTTTGCAATCCAAATCCCGCGGCCGCAGGCCAAACCCTTTTTCAACGAGGACTGTCTCGAAACCCAACTACCTAAACTGTTTGTGCATCCGGTCTGCAGATCTGCCGGAAACGGGAGCCAGGGGGCATGAACAAATGAACGAAAACACTTTCCCCACACAATCCAAAGCATGTAAACCCCGAACCTTCGACCCTCTTCTAACCAGGACTGCTGAGGCTCCGAACCCTTAAACCCTAGAACCCTATACCTCCTTAACCCCTTCCTGGAAGTCAACCTCAGCCTTGTAACCTGTGGTTAAACTGGGTTTTTGACGCATTGAATCTCAAACTACTGAAGCTTGCAGTGCGCAGGGCCGCAGAAGCAGGGGTCTACATCCACGTTTCAAGGCCGGAAAGCAAGAGCTGAGCAAGGTCAGAGATCTGGTATACTCTTCGCCATGCGACATTGAATTCAAACAGTAAGTTTGAGATCTTCCGCCGGCAGAACCCTGGCAAATTCAAACATAAAACCCGTGAGCAGGGTCTGGCAGCCTGACCACACCAAGCCCCCACAGCTTTTACTTGGCTGACTTCCGAACCCCTACTGAAAGTTTAACTTCTAGAATACTTATTGTAGAAACTACAAAAACCCAAAAGGTTATACACACCTAGGCAATTCCTTCTGCGACCTTTGGTTTTGGGAATTCGTGCATCCAATGCCACTCCTTGCCTTCCGCCCCTGCGGACTCGTCTAATCCCGCCTGCAGGTTTGGGCTTCCAAAAGCATCAATGTTCCCAAGTTGGCTTCGTGTCTTCCTGTGTCTTCCTGTTCTTGGCGATCCGGCTCGGGATTTGATGAGGCAACATCCAGCAACATCGGGCAATCTTTTTTCGGCCAGCGCTGTCGACTGTCCTGACCGATCCACGGCTGTATGGAGTAGGGACGCGGGATTGGCACATGAGTGCTCCACCCGTCTTTTGTAAGGAAGGCCCCTGTCCTGCACTCCATGCTGGGACTAGGGTGACTAGGATGCCAATGCACGTCTCAAACTTCGCTTGAACGTGCAAGCTTCGACTCTACAAGGGAGCAGACTTCGTCCAGCTCCACGGCCCAAATTAATTTCATTAATTGGATCACACTGCGTGCATTACACAGCTGGGGACTCGCCTTCGACGGATTTCACAGCCGGTCCATGAAACATAACGCCGTGCTCTGCCCAGTAGAAGCACGGGCTCAGCAGAGCCCAGAACATCACGTGGCCCGCATGCACCTGGAACGGCAAGAGCGGGTCCTCGATCGGGCGGTAGAATCCGAATCCTGCGATGACTGCACCCAAGTTACCGCCGGCACCGACCAGGGCAGAAACGATGGTCAGCTGCTGCCTGTTCATAAATGGCACGATGCCATCGTCCTTCGGCCATCTGCACGAACAGGCGGAAGCACGGCAGCACAGCCAGCGCCACGTACCATGGCTGGGAGTTGTCTACCAATCCGGAGCAAAACAGGAAGATAGCCTCGAAGAAGAGGGACAGGAACTGTGCCCAGATGCGATCGCGGAAGCCGAAGTTCTTGAAGAGCAGGTGGCTGGTGATTCCGCCGAGGGACCTTGCGAACAAGTTCATCAGACCGAAGGAGCCCGCCAAGGCCGAAGCGTCAGCCGCTGCCATCTGGAAATACGTTCGGAAATGCGTTGCTAGCTGGTTGTTCATGGCGAGTTCTGCCCCAAAGCAGGCCGAGTACTGAAAGATCATGACCACTACACGAAAGTCCTTGAGAACAACCAAGTAGTCCATCATAGACGGCTTCTGGGTCTTTCCGGTGACGGACACGTCGAAGCGCTTGGCTAGCACAGCAGCTTGATGCACGCTGCACAGATCAGGAACATCACCGCCGGCACGATCATGGCAACCCGCCAGGCCGTATCCGGGACGATACCAGACTCGACCATTGGGTTGAAAAGGACCGACGTCATGAAGATTTGAGTCACACCACCCCCGAGGTTGCCCCAGCCAGCAGCTGTGGCGTTCGCCGTGCCAATGACGTTCGGAGCGAGCATCAGGGAGCACCAGAACTGGTTCGCGACGAACGTCGCCCCAGCGCAGCCAATGAAGAAGCGGATCAGCGTGCAGTTCCACGGGGCACTGATGCCAGCAGCTGCAGCAACCCAAATGGCGCCGAACGTCAGCAACCCCGACTGAACGTTCACAGGGCCAAAGCGCTCCAGCAGCGTGCCTAGGGCGATCCGCACGAAGATCGTGGACGCGACGGCTGCGACGCCAGCGCCGGCGATCATGCTATTGCATTCGGTGCCCGGCGTGCAGATGCACTTCACCAGCACCTCTGGCCTGTACTTTGTCACTCCCGTTGCCAGCTCCGCCACGGTCGGGCTCACGCAGTCCGTGGGGTTGCCATCGCCGTCCTTCTCCTGGCCCTTGGTGCAGTACGTGAGCCCGGTCTTCAGGTTCGTGAACTTCAGGTACGCCTTTTTCGTCGGGCTGGTGGCAGGGGGATAATTACAGCTGGTTCTCGCACATGTTCATGCTGGTCGCCACCTCGAGGCTCAATGGTGCCAAAGCGAACCAGCCAAGAAAGGCGAGGAAGAAGGAGATTGTCGATGCCCAGAAAGCGTGCATATGTGGATTCTGCTGCACCGTTCCGCAGACCCGGAGCAGTGGCAGCTCCGTGGCCTTGTTGTTCTCGTCGACCGCCAACTTGAAGTCAGACATCTCCGCAGGGTTTCACCGGCTGGGAGGGGCACCGACGCACTTTGTGTGAGCCAATCTTGAGCCGTAGCTATTGAAACAAGTTGCAGCCGCTAGCATCTCACAAAGTGTTCGACCAGGCCTGCCGCAATACAGCTCGATGGCTGTAGCTCGCCTGCAAACCCGAGGGGCGTGGGGAATGGGGAATGGACGGAAACATGGCCGTCCCGTTTCTTTGATGCCTCGGGCCTTGTGCTTGCCTATCTGGACTGTCGACATCACAGAGGGATAAACAGAATCTTGCAAGCCCAGACATTCGCAAGCGAAGGGCTTTGGACCTGGCACCGTTTCAGGTCACGCTGATCGGTGACGGAAATGACTCAGTTAGAGCAATGGAAACAACCTCCATATTGGTTGCACAGGAAACAAACTCCATATTAGTTCCTCCGATCTCATCCGAGGGATATGAGAGGGATAGTGAGCGCGGATCTCCCGCTCAGACGCACCCTGCGGACATGACGCACCTTTTTGACTAAGATCTTAGCGATATCTCTCGTCCTGGATCTTCATGAACTGTTGGGGAGCATAATGATTTATGATTCGTATGTATACATACGATTAACATAAACATATGCGCGTCATATATACGTATGTACATATATCTCGCCTCCACCAAGGAGAGCTGCACCACCCGCAGGCATTCGAGGTCGGGCCTCAGTGCGACAGGCCAGGCCCTGCTTCTGCCAGCACGGATCTCTGAAACCCGGACGGCCCTGTAGGATTTCAACCTTGTAGGGTCTAAGGTTTAGGCATTACCTATAGGATTGGACCCTTATGAACCTGCAGGGCTTGAGGCTTACATCCCAAAACCTTAAGTCCCATAGGGTTCTGCCTATGTTTGTAGTATGTAGGGATTGCCCCCTGTGGAAATGCAAAGAAGAAGATGTAGGATATAAATGTATTGTATATTCAAAGGCAGAAAACGGACAAGGAAGGCTAGTAGGCCTCGAAGCATACGACAACGAAGCATTCGAGCGCATAGGGTGATGCAAAAAAACATGCCCTGTAAGCCCGAGGAATGCGAGGAGACTGTGAGCAAATAAAATATCCTTTCACTCGCACATATGACATCCTAACCTTACAAATATACATGCAAAAGGTAGGCTCGACAGGGGACATATATTTATGTACACATGTGCAGTAAAAAATGAGGAATATACAAAAACCACACCGAAAAACAAAAAACAAACGCAGGCCCCACAGCGCATGCACTCTTCAACAAAATCCTGGGAGAGTTTGGTTTGGGGTTTAGAGTTTAGGGTTTAGGCTTTTAAAAATGTCCAGGCATCGTGTCAGCGCCGGCTGAACTTCTACAACGATGACCCGATACAAGTCTTGCGGCCTATGCCGACACGGCGTGGAAGTAGCAGGGCAGACCCCCCAAGTCAAGGGAGCACTGCTCTGGAAAGCCTCCCTAACCTGTAGCAAAAAAAAACGCTGCTCACAGATGTCTCTTAGGCTTGCACTCCACGAAGTGCTCTCGCATGATGTCCAGCTGAGGGGGGCGTGTCATGGGCTGTGAGTGTATGGCAAACTGAACTACCATGAAGGTCTGCAAGGATGAGACCCTAGAAGCCGGTGGAATCGACAGAGTCTGCACAAAGTGTTCAGCATCAGGCAGCATGGAATCGGGTCAACGGGTCAACGATCTGGGCTGCACGCGAGTTGCAGAGTTGACTGCCACTTCATGGCCCGCCTGTGGCGACACTGTAAACATTCAAGAGATCCCTAAACCCTAAACCCTTTTTTGCAGCCGGACTGAGGGCTTTGCCGGAATACTGAGGGCGTTGCCGAAATGCTGCCAAGAGTCCCTCAAACTCAGCACCGCTGACTGAGATGCCGAACCCTAGCATTAAAGGCTTGTGGAACACACTCAAATAAACCCTAAACCCTAAACTCTAAACCCTAAACCCTGTAAGAATCCGCGCCCTGGCTTCACGTCCGAAAGGGCGGCCGGGTGAATAGAGATGTAAGAAACGCGTCTGCACATATAACTCCCCCTTAGGTGAGTCTCATGCTGCCAAGTAAGCTTCAAATTCTGCAGGGGAGGGCGCTACATGCTAAAGAATTTGACCATGGCCCGGAAAACTTTTTCCGGGCTCAACGTCCTCCTCCTCAACGCCTGGTTCTCAAACGCTGCACGTCAGCGCCCCTGAACAAAACGGCTGTCACTCTCGAAACCCCAAACGCCGACCAACAACACCAAAACTCCCACTCTGCCTTGATGCCGCGATGGCAGCCCCGAAGCTCGCCTCATGAGGCAGCAAAGCAAAAACAAATTGACATGCTTGCCGGGGCTAAGGTTCCCCTGCGAGGATGCATGAAGTCTCATGATCCAAAGATATCCAAAGGATGTCGTGGTTGAAGGCAATATTGATGGGGCCATGTTAGTGAGCTCGAAATTTATCAGCTGTCGGAGTTTAAGGTGCCTTAAGCGCCTTAAGCAACGTCTCCCCAGGGGCGTAGGAACCTGGACATTGGACATTCGGAGTCCACGCTCGATACCAGTTTTCCGGGAGAAGTGCAAGTAACTGCGAGAGTAGCTGCTCTCAAGTTGCACGCAACGAAATTCTAGAGGTGGAGAGAGGCGCAAAACGGGGACGAGCTCACCGATGAAGGTAAAGCACATGCAAGAAAAAGACAAGAAAACATTTGAGAGAATCAGAATCCGTAAAATTGTGAGTGAAACCTGACAGAAGCTTGGGCGCACGCCGCCGTCACGTGCTTTTCGCCACTGGCCTGCCAAAACCGTGCGTTCGTGGTTGTGGGCGATTGGCATGTAAGTCAGCAGGTGCTTGGACAGAAGCACGCCATGACATGCTCGCCTCGACAAGCTCTCTGCAAGGTCCCACTATGTCCCACTCAAGAGGGGGTGTTCCAAAGATGATGAGCATCTGGCCACACTAGCGTCACTAGCGCGCACAACTGCTCCATCGCTTCTAAAACACAACCCGATCGAGTCCGAATTGGCTCCTGGAGCAATGCGACAGCCAGCTCCCAGCTGGTGCCCCGCTCGCACCCTGCAAGACACAGAGCATGCTGCGCGCAGTTGCATGAATTACAATACAAGCGCTTGTAGGCTTGTAGTCCTAGCGGTCTTAATTGAGTCTGAATGTAGAGGTCAGATAGGGGAAAATCTAACCAAAAAGTCCAGGAGTTGAGACAGGCTGTGGTCAGGGATATGGCTAGGCTGCACGTCCTCAACCAACTCATGTGTTCCAACAGTAAAACATAACCCATGAAAGCTGTGCTCATCAAGAAGTAATTCGCAAGTTCCAGAAAACAAAGTATGGCCTGTACACCGGCATGAAGAACAACAACTGGCTTTTGCAGGGTGATCTGTATATAGTGACGGACAAATGATAGACCACTTTTGTGAGGTAAAACAGCATCCATCCACGACATATTTCTCTAAGGAACGCTTCAGAAAAATATGTTGAGCTAACGACGGATGTTTAATGCACACCTGAGACGGTTGCTGCAACAGCTTCAAACAGAACCAACATTCCAAAACACAAAGCATGAACAAAAGACAAGGGTATGATGACATCTGAGATGTCATTAGCAATGCAAACGCAAGTGAAACAGGGCTTTACCTTCGCCCGACGCGGCCGCAAGAGAGTTTAGGACCCCGTGCCTTAAGCTATAATGAAAAAACCCTGTAATGGTCATATATTGAGCAAATGTGTTTGAAACCCGTCCCCGTCCCTGACCAGAACCCGGCAGGGGCGCTGGCCGTTGATGGTGGCATTGAAGGTCACGATGTTGGGTGCTGCCTCCCGGGAGGGCTCTTGCTGTACATGTCTGTGTCACCCACATGGCCGCCATGTGCTTTTGTGACGGCCACTCGAGTATTGAGTATGCACGAAGAGGGTTTATCTAAACATACGTAGTGGCATGGATGCAGAAGGCTTACATGTGCAGCTGCCTAGAGAAAAGACAATTCGGGATGATTGCCTGCTTCATGATGCTTCATGCTTTCTCTGAGAGCGCATCTGCGTCGCCATGCCAATATGACGTAGCAGACTTCTCCAGGGTGCGACTCCACAGCAGAGGACGACTTCGGTCCCCAAAGTACAAGGGCTTTACGATGGATCAGTGAACTCGAACGCAGCCTGCCACAAATAACACCAGCTCAACTTCTTCTCAGAAAAACACCAATTGCCACAAAGCCAAAGAGCCTTGAGAGCCGGCATGCTGGCTAGAAACCTCGGCTTGCAGACTCGCAGGTACGGTCAAATGTTGAAGGATTTAGGGCTGCGGACATTCGACCAAGAGTCCTGCTCCCTAAGCATCTTCAAAATCCAGAATCTTTACCCCAAGCTCGCGGGCACAGATGTCAAACTTTGATATATGTGCCGCATGTAAAGTGATCAAGACCTCGTTCTAACCCCCGATTTGTTGTGCACAAAGAAGGCGAAGTTTTAGAAGGCCTGCAGGTCAGGCGGCAGAGTCTAAAGTTCTGCGTCACTAGACATTCATGCCCATGCAACACCAACATCCTCTTTCCCTCTCTTTGCCGAACCATGATGATTAATTGCATGGGGGCAGAGAACAAAAGAGTGTGCCTACTGGCGTTCGCATCCCAACACATATTTCTATGTATACATGCTATTTATACATATACATATGTATGTTCCACACAGACACTCAACACCACACAACACTTGCTCCATGCAGCTATGCATGGGGGCCAGCATGTCCCTCTAACCCCGAATGAGTTCAATCAGACTCTTGCGAAAGTGACAGCAATACCGGTCCCAGGACCTGACAAAGAAACCCACGAAGCCCGTGGAATCCTTACCAAGCTCCAGACCGCAACCCATGTGCCCATTCCGCAGAACGCCTTGGCTCAAGGGGCACTACTGCAACAGGTCCACCCCACAGCCCATCGGTGCCTGCTCAACGCCTAGCTTTTGCCATAAGAAGTTCGGGTGTTCGTGAGGATGAGGAAATGTGAGGTA